CCCCATTTTAACGCTGGAGCGCCACCTCACGCAAAGGGCGCTGCCTGTGCGCGCGTTAGTTAGCATTGGTAGAAGGCGCCAATGCGCACACACGTAGTATATCGTCGTAGGAGCTGTTTGAAAAAATTGTAGGCCTTGGTGACTTATATTTCGGCTTAAATGAAGCCTTTAGTACTTATTGGTTATAATATGATTTGTTTTAGCTTTGTAGCATTTTTTTTAAATAATTTAACTTTCTAAGATAATTTTGCTTAGTACTATTCTAAAGCCTCATATTATTGCTTGCATACGTTTGTAGTAGTACTACACAAAATTAATTTAGTAGCGCTTATCAAATTAAATGCACTTAATATCTAATACTAATTACCTTAAAGTATTGTATCATATTTGCGTTAGATGAAGATGCACAATTTTTTATTAATATCAAATATTTAAAATATGAATATAGTGGCTTCCACCGCACATAACCATGTACACTTCTCCGCCACTAAAAAAAGAACGTTTTCTTTGTATTAGCGCGTATTTTGCACCCCTAAGAGCATGTGCGCCCTCTCGAACACGATACGTAACATACATGCAGTGCAGTGGGAGCAGTGTTTGTGATTGAATTAGCGTAGATGCACGTGATTAAACAAGAACACGAAACACGGAGGAACAGCGAGTCAGATCATGTACATAACGCGATAGAAGGAACAGCTTGAAATACGGAAAGTCACGGACGATAAAAGAATAGGCCACGAAATTTCATACGAAGCACGAACCAGGGAAGAGCCTGAAAAACACGGAGCCGCACGATCAGATGACATCGGGTGAGAGCTGAAATAATGAAACGCCAACACGCTGAAAAAGCACGGACCAAGAGAGAGCACGTTCACAGTCACGGTAGACCACGCAGCTGTGCGAGTGCACGGAAAGGAGTTCTCCCACCACAGGTTACCCCGAAGCACGGTCGGCGGCCAAACACAAATTCACGGGAGAGCATAAGCGGGAAGTCACTGAACATTGGAGTACGATACCAGGACAGCCCACCGACCCACGGCACACGATACTACGGTAGCTAACGATAGCTTGGACTTCTAACCAACGTCAACACCACGCCATAAACGACAGCATAGACGTTGGATTAGCCACTAAACCGTGGGAGAACACGCAGCCACGCGAAATCACCGAACCACGGAGCCGGGTACCAGTGTAGAGCCTGAGGTCACCTAGCATCGAGGGACAATAGTGCATTACAACATGATTGCACGGACGACGTACCAGCCACGAAGTCACAGGGAAACGATTCGGGATACCACGGTTGCACACCGCGGAGCACGATACCATTGTAGAACACGATACGCGGGCAAAGCAGATGCACTACGCGAGCACAATACCGTAGACATCATTGCCATACCGCGATTGCACGATAGCATGGTAACGCGGTCGATGGAACCTCACCAGGAGAGCGCGATACACGGGCGACGGAACCACACGACTGCATGGAGGCACCAAACCTCGGAATAGCACTCTAGACCGAAGACCATTCAGCCGGGGAACACCATACCAGTGTAGAACCTGAGCTTACCGAGCCCCCAAGGGACATTAATACATGAGCCCCCGAAGGACCGTATTACCTGAGAACCGCATTGCACTCGAAGGGTGGACCCCCACCAAATAAACGAAGGGGCTCTTAGGGGGACACGATTTCACTTGTGGAGTACGATGTCATTGCAAAACAAAATAGCTCGGCCAACGCAGGTGCACTACGCGAGTCACAATAACATAGACAGCATTATCATACCGCGATTGCACGATAGCGTGATACCGCGGTCGATGGAACCTCACCAGGAGAGCACGATACACCGGGTGATGGAATAATACGACTGCGTGGAATGCGCAAAACCACCAAAATATCTACTCTTCCGGCCCAGAGTACCAGCGATGGTGAGGGCCAACGGTCTACGAAAAGAATGCCGTACTAACCAATTAGGATTCCCAAAAAAAGAGGGTCGTAATAAACCCAATAAAGCAGGCCGGGGGTCACCGGGTGGGG